GGGCACGGCCAGCCCTGCGAGGGGCAGGAGCATCCCAGCCCCATTCCACCCCAAATCCTGGCCCCATTCCCATGCTATTCCAATCCCCAGTCCCAATCCCATTCTGTCCCCATACCCATTCCATCCCCATCTCAATCCCCATTCCCAATCCCATCTCAATCCCATTCCCAATCCCATATCCCATCCCAATTCCATCCCCAGTCCCATTCCACCCCAAATCCCAGCCCCATTCCCATGCTATTCCAATCCTCAGTCCCAATCCCATCCCCATTCCATCCCCATCTCAATCCCATTCCCAATCCCATCCCAATTCCATCCTCATTCCAATTCCATCCCCAATCCCATTCCATTCCATCCCATTCCCCATCCCATCCTCATTCCAACTCCCATCCCCACTCCCAATCCCAAATCCCACCCCCATTCCCATGCTATTCCAATCCCCAGTCCCATCCCCAATCCCAATCCCATTCCCAATTCCATCCTCATTCCAATTCCATCCCCAATCCCATTCCATTCCATGCCATTCCCATTCTCCATCCCCATCTCAATCCCCATCCCAATCCCATCTCCAATCCCAATTCTATCCTCATTCCAATTCCATCCCCATCCCCAATCCCATTCCATCCCATCCCCATCCCCAATCCCATCCCCATTCCCATCCCCATCCCCATCCCCAATCCCATCCCCATTCCCATCCCAATCCCATTCCCATCCTCATTCCAAATCCCATCCCAATTCCATCCTCAATCCAACTCCATCCTCATCCCAATCCCCAGTCCCAGACTGGCCTCACCTGCAGCCCCCATCCCCTCTCCTTAGGCACAAATTTGGGGTGGGGGACCCCAGCTTTGTCCCAGCCCCCTCCCTCCCTCCCCGGGTGTTTTTCCAAAAACCACAGGAATTGTTGGGAGCAGGAGCCCGGGGTGACACCGTCACTGCTGCTGCTGCTTCCATGGCAACCCGCCTTTCTTTCTGGGAGCTGCTCCATCAGAATTAAGAAGTAATTAATAAAAATCCTCCCCTGCACGTGGGCCCTGCCCCGCTGCTGCCCCCGCGCCCCCGGGGCACGTGCAGGAGCAAAGGATGGGAAAAAAGGGAATTTTCCTGGTTTGCTCTGGTCACAGGGACAGGCAGGGCCCACCTGGGGATGCTCCAGGAGAGGCTGAGCAGGGAATGAGCCTGGGCTCGTTCCCATTCCTCAGGAGCAAAGGATGGGAAAAAAGGGAATTTTCCTGGTTTGCTCTGGTCACAGGGACAGGCAGGGCCCACCTGGGGATGCTCCAGGAGAGGCTGAGCAGGGAATGAGCCTGGGCTCATCCCCATTCCTAATCCCATCCCCATCCCCATCCCCAATCCCATTCCTATTCCCATCCCAATCCCCAATTCCATTCCCATTGATCCCCACCCCCTTCCTCTTCCTAATCCCAATCCCATCCCCAATCCCATCCCAATCCCATTGATCCCCATTCCCGTCCCCATCCCAAATCCCATTCCTGTTCCCATCTCCATTCCCACTGATCCCCAATCCTATTCCTATTCCCATCCTTATCCCCAATTCCATTCCCATTGATCCCTATCTCCATTCCTGTTTCCAATCCCAATCCTATTCCCATTCCCATCCCCATTGATCCCCACCCCCATTCCTCTTCCTAATCCCAATCCCATCCCAATCCCATTGATCCCCAATCCCGTCCCCATCTCAAATCCCATCCCCATTCCCATTGATCCCCAATCCCATTCCTATTCCCATTCCCATCCCTATCCCCAATTCCATTCCCATTGATCCCCATTCCCAATTTCATTCCCACTGATCCCCAACCCCATTCCTGTTCCCAATCCCAATCCCATTCCCATCTCCATTCCAACCTTTCCTGCTCATTCCTGAGCCCTCGCACCCCCCCGGGCAGAGTGAGGTGCCCCTGCCTGGCTCAGGGAATCCCAGAGCGCTGGAATTCCTGCTGGAATTCCTGATTAATGCCCCTGCATTAACCCGGGCTGTTCCGGCTGCCCCTCCTCCGCCCGGCTCCGTGGGACCCCAGCAGGATCCCGGAGCAGGAATTGTGCCCTCAGCTGCCCTCAGCCAGGATTCCTCCCAGGTGACCGTCCCCACTCAAACACCGACTCTGCAGCAAACACTCATTAGGGAGCATTTGCTGCCTCTAGTAATTAAGGCTCTCATTAATGCACTGGCTGCACTCGCAGGATGGATGGTGCTGGCATTTCGGGGAGGAACAAATGAACCCATGGAGGAAATCCAGGGGGGTGTGCCCAGCACAAACCCGGCACAAACCCGAGCTCAAACCCGGCACAAACCCGGGCTCAAACCCGGCACAAACCCGAGCTCAAACCCGAGCTCAAACCCGGCACAAACCCGGCACAAACCCGGACACAACCCGAGCTGAAACCCGGGCTCAAACCCAGCACAAACCCGAGCTCAAACCCGGCACAAACCCGAGCTCAAACCCAGCACAAACCCGAGCTCAAACCCGGGCTCAAACCCGGGCTCAAACCAGGCACAAACCCGAGCTCAAACCCGGGCTCAAACCAGGCACAAACCCGATTTATATTGGATATTGGAACCCAAATCCAGCTGCTCTTCCTTCTGCTTCACTGCTGCGAAAGGAAATCCTTACCTGGAATAACAAACCCAACTTCTCCTTTGTGCTTCTACACGAGGGCAGTTAAAAAAGCAAAAAAAAAAAAAAAATTAAAATGATTTCTTTTTATCTGCAAGAAAATGTTTATTCTTTGTAAACCCCACAGAAAAAAGAGGGTGCAGCCAAGAGCAAGTGGGGAACAAAAAGGGCGCCCGAGGGGGCAGCAAAGGGGGAAGCTCACCACAAAAATGACAAAAATTCCATTTTGCACAGGATGGAACCGTGGGGAGCTCGGGGAGCCCCCGGTGCCAGGCCAGAGGGGGCTCCGGAATGCACCGCAGCATGCAGCCGGGGCTGCAGCTGAGCCCGCGGTGGACGGAGGAATTGGGGTTTTTCTGCCGACCTCAGAGTCCTGCTCCTTCCTTGCTGCTGCTCCGTGAGGCACCGTGCCAATTAACACCATCGTTAAAAAAATGAATTATTTTCTTTTCAGACCCTCCAGAGCGCATGGTTTGTCTGTGGAATCCTAAAGCTGGCCTGGAGTTTTTCTTGGTTTCCCCCCTCCCTCACTCTGCCCCAGGGCAGAAGGTGCCAGTGCCAAACCCTTTTTCTCTGGATAGAAACACATTTGTCATTCTGTGCAATTCCAGTGTTTCCTTGAAAACTCCTCAATAAAAAGCCCAAACTCCCTGTGGGGAGCAGAACCGCTGGAGACAGAAGGGGAGATCAAGTGTCAATGACAGCTGAATAAAATAAAATAAAATAAAATATATAAAATATAGAAAATAAATAAAATAAAATAATTTAAAAAATAAAATAAAAAATAAAAATAAAATAAAATAAAATAATATAAAATAAAATAAAAAATTTTAAAAATAAAATAAAAAACAATAAAATAAAAAAATAAAATAAATAAAATAAAATAAATAAAATAAGTCAAATTAAAAAAAAATTAAAATAAAAAATAAAATCCCCCAGAACTGCAGCTTTCATTAGGCAGCTTTCCAGTGTGTGGTGTACAGAACATTGCACAGCTCCACCCTCCCTCTCCTGGAGGATGAACCTCCAGCCAGGACAGAACAGTTTGGAGCCAAAGAAACTGAGCTGGAGCCTGGCTCCTGAGCAAGGAGCCTGCAGCAGGCTCTGCAATCAGTGAAAGGGGCAAAAAAAAAAATAAAATTAGTTTAAACCATCAAGTTTCCTCTTGAAATGTCTTTTCCCCAAGGCACTGTGAACAAGACTGTTTAGCAATTCTCCATGAGTGAAAAAACCACCAGTGGGGATAGAAATATTTCACACAACAACCACCAGCACATCATCAGCTATTCTTTATTCCTTGCCTTCAACAACGCCCCTGGAATTTGTTTGGTCCTTTGAGGGGGGAAAATCAAATTATCTTCTGCAACATCCACGTGTTTGCATTTCATACATCGATAAATCAAAGCTTTGTTGGGTTGTTTAACCTTTTCACTGGGAAAACTGAAGGGTTTTTCCTCACTGGATCAATCTGCAAATCCAATTTGATCATTAAATTAAAAAAAACCCAAAAAACTGAGGAGAAAGGGTTCCAAACCAAGCAAAGCCCTGTGGTTTTTGGTTGTTTTTTTTTTCAAGAGGAAACCATGCAAGAGTACATAAAAAGGCAAAATTGGCTACTTGAAAACCAAGAATCGTTTTTAATGCGTTGGCCGAGGAAAACAAATCGCGAAGTTCCGTGAGGTTCCCTAAAAATGTACAAGAAAAAACTGCTGGGCAGCTCCAAGCAACGCTCCTCCCTCCTGCTGAAGTGACCACAAACACAGCCCCACACGGAACGATTCCATCCCGGCTGCCAGAGACCCCCGGGGGGCACGGAGAGCCCCTCACTTCTTCAGGGGCTGGTACACGGAGGCGTTGGGGTCCAGCCCGGAGGGGCTGGGCTCCACGAATTTGGAGGAGTAATGTGGGGCCACGGGGCTCAGGGTGCTGGTGGCTGCCGTGTAGCTGATGCTGGGCATCACCGCCATCACCTCGGCGATCTTCTGCTTCAGCTCCTTGATCTCCTGGTCCTTCTGCAGGATCTGCCCTGCAAAGAGCCACGCGCGGCGTCAGCGGCGGCTCGGGGCCGGCTGGAGCCCTGCAGGGCCCTGTGCAGCTCAGAGCCCTGCAGGCAGCCCTGTGCAGCTCCTGTGCAGCTCAGAGCCCTGCAGGCAGCCCTGTGCAGCCCTGTGGAGCCCAGAGCCCTGCAGGCAGCCCTGTGCAGCTCAGAGCCCTGCAGGCAGCCCTGTGCAGCTCCTGTGCAGCTCCTGTGCAGCTCAGAGCCCTGCAGGCAGCCCTGTGCAGCTCAGAGCCCTGCAGGCAGCCCTGCAGGCAGCCCTGTGCAGCTCCTGTGCAGCTCAGGGCCCTGCAGGCAGCCCTGTGCAGCTCAGAGCCCTGCAGGCAGCCCTGTGCAGCTCCTGTGCAGCTCAGGGCCCTGCAGCCACCCCTGTGCAGCCCTGCAGGGCCCAGCCTGATGAGCTCCAACTCCCACAGAACAAATCTCAACGCTCCCATGATGATTCTGCATGGTTTGGGCTCACAGCTGCACCACCCCCAAAGATTAATGCTATTTAATCCCATTTTCCTGCCTTTTCCCATTCCCCTTCAGTCATAGAAACTTTTAATTTTCCAAACTGTCCCACTCCCCTCACTTCTCTCTGAGCTTTCACACCACCACCACAGCAATTCCTGCAGGCAGGTGCTGAACAAACCCACTCCTGAAACAAAAAACCAATTTCTCCCTCTAATTAAACATTCCTGCAATCAACCAGCCTTCTGCAGGGGAATGAAGTTGGTGTTAAATGCAGTTTTTGAGTGCTGCTCCATGGTTTGCACAGCTGCACAAAGCCTGGCCTGGGTTTTAGGTTGGTTTTCTGCTCCCTCTGGTGGCAGTGCCCACACTCCCCTCACCTGCTCAGGGTTAAAACAGGTTGGGTTCTCCTCAAATTTGGGTTTTATTTACTTGAGGAGTAATAAAACATTATTATAATAAAAGAAATATTTATTTAGGAGTAATAAAACATTATTATAATAAAATATTATCAGGATGACGGGAGAGCAGCTTAATAACAGATTTAATTTAATTAATTTATATCTTTTAAAGAGACAGCTCTTTAAAAGATCTCCAGCTCCTTGTAATGGTTTATAAAATGCAGAAAATAATCAGGAATTCATTGAAACACCTATTTTAATGCTCAGTATCAGCCTGATGGGGTGGGCAGCTGAGCTCAGCTGGTTCCAGCTGCATTGCCAAAGACAGAAATGCCCAATTCCCTCCCAGGGAACCCCAAAGCTCAGACCCCCAGGCCGTGTGCAGGGCAGCCCCGTACCTTGGGCGATCTCCAGCTGCCTCTTGGCATCCCCCAGGGCAGAGAAGAGGTCCAGCTTGATCCTGGTCTCTGCGCTCAGGCTGTTCTCCAGGTGCTGCGTCTTGTCCTGCATGGCCGAGAGCGCCGACATCAGCACCTCGGTGTCCTTCTCGTTCTCCTTGTACTTCCGCAGCTCCTGCGGGGACACGGGGCTCAGGGTGCTGGGAGGGGCAGTCTGGGGGGCAGGGATGGCAGCCCGGGGGGCAAGGATGGGACCCTGGGGGGCAGGGATGGCAGCCTGGGAGCAAGGATTTTCCCCCAGGCCGTGTGCAGGGCAGCCCCCGTACCTTGGGCGATCTCCAGCTGCCTCTTGGCATCCCCCAGGGCAGAGAAGAGGTCCAGCTTGATCCTGGTCTCTGCGCTCAGGCTGTTCTCCAGGTGCTGCGTCTTGTCCTGCATGGCCGAGAGCGCCGACATCAGCACCTCGGTGTCCTTCTCGTTCTCCTTGTACTTCCGCAGCTCCTGCAGGGACACGGGGCTCAGGGCATGGGGAGGGGCAGGTGGGGCAGGGCTGGCAGCCTGGGGGGCAGGGATGGCAGCCCGGGGGCAGGGATGGCAGCCCGGGGGCAGGGATGGCACCCTGGGGGCAGGGATGGCACCCCAGGGGGAAAAAATGGCATCCTGGGGGGGAAAAATTTCATCCTAAGAGCAAAAAATGTCATCCTAAGAACAAAAAATGGCAGCCTGGGGCACGGCTGGCATCCTGGGGGAAGGGTTGGCAGCCTGGGGGGCAGGGATGGCAGCCTGGGGGGCAAAAATGTGATTCTGGGGGGAAAAAATGGCACCCCGGGGGGAAAAAATGGCAGCCTAAGAACAAAAAATGTCATCCTAAGGACAAAAAATGTCATCCTGGTGGGCAAAAACGGCACCCCGGGGAAAAAAATGTCATCTGAAGGGCAAAAATGTCATCCTGGGGGGCAAAAATGTCATCCTAAGAGCAAAAAATGTCATCCTGGGGGGCAAAAAATGGCATCCTAAGGACAAAAATGTTATCCTGGAGGGCAAAAATTGTCACCTTGGGGCCAAAAATGTGACCCTGGGGACAAAAATGCCACCCTGGAGGCAAAATGCACCCTGCCATCCTAGGGGCAAAAATGTTATCCTAGAGGCAAAAATGTTATCTGGGAGGGCAAAAGTGTCATCTGGGGGGCAAAAAATGTTATCCTGAGGGGCAAAAATGCTACCCTAAGGGCTAAAATTGCCAGCCTGGGGGGCAAAAAATGCCAGCCTGGGGGGCTTCACAGAGCAGACAGACCCAGGAGTCTCCCCCCTTCCCCACACTGGGCCTGGCATTAATTAAAATGCAGGTTAATGAAGGTTCCCTGCAGTGATTAAAGCTGTGATTAAAGCTCATTTGCTCTGGGCCTCAGCCCCCACCCAAAAAGCCCCAAATCCCTTCCCAAGAGGCAGAGAGGGTGTGGAACACTTCCCTCAGGAAAGGCTGGAACTGCTCATGTTGGAAAAGGCCTCTGGGAGCACCAAATTAATTAAAATTAATTAAAATTAATCCCCCAGTGGCACTTCTGTGGTTTGGGCACTGCCAGGGATGTGGAATTCCATCCCTGGGCAGCCCCTGCACAGCAACATGGCAAAAACTTCCCTAAAAACCCAACCCCAAAGGCTGCTGGAAGGGATTGTTTGTATCTCACATCAAATCAAACCTCACTGGGTCAGGGCCAGAAATTCAGGGGAGAGAAAAAACAGGGAGAAATTATCCTGGCAAGCTGTGGCTGGGGGAAAAAAATACAAAAATACAAAAATATTCTACACCTTCAGATGGAGGGACAGGGAAAATATGAATGCCTGCAACAAGAAGCTTCTCTACCAGTTTGAAGGTGCTCATAAAATGAAAAAAAGCTTCATTAGAGCTGGGTTTAATGAGCTGAAAGCCATGCTCAAACACTCCAGGGATAAGCCACACTTGTTGTCAAGGGTTTGGTAAATCCAGGGACAAGAAGGCTGCACCTGTGATTGGAAACAAGTCCACAGCAGCAGCAGGTGGGCTTTGAAGAGGCATTAAAAATCCATTTTCATGCAGATTGGCAGTCTGAGCACATCTTTAGGACAGGAGGAAGGGCACACATTTGAGCTCTTTAGCTGTGACAAACCCAACCCTGTTTGCTGCACATCTGCCATGAAGGATTTGCAATATTCAGGCACTTCCACCAAAAAAAATAAAAATAAAAATAGCCTGGCCAGTGCTCCAGAGTGCCCTGAACCAGCAAGCTTCAGTGAAATTTATAATTCTGTACAATGACAGTGGCCACAGGCTCCTGGCAGGAGGAGAAAAATGCTGTTGAGGGGATTCAACCCTCAGCCAGTGGGTTTGGGGGAAAAATTCCCATTTCACCAAGAGAATGGTGTGGGATGGAACCTCTGGCCCTGCTGGAACCATGGAAGGGTCTGGAAGGAGCTCTGGCACTGCTGGAACCATGGAAGGGACTCGAAAGACCCTGCTGGAACCATGGAAAGTTCTGGAAAGAGTCCCCAGCCCTGCTGGAACCATGGAAAGTTCTGGAAGGAGCTCTGGCCCTGCTGGAACCATGGAAGGGTCTGGAAGGAGCCTCCTGGAACCATGGAAGGGTCTGGAAGAAGCTCTGGCCCTGCTGGAACCATGGAAAGTTCTGGAAGGAGCTCTGGCCCTGCTGGAACCATGGAAGGCTCTGGAAGGAGCTCTGGCCTCCCCCTGCCCAGGCGGGGCAGGAGCCGCAGGAGCTGCAGGAGCTGCAGGCCCTGGGCACTGCTGTGCTGCAGATGCAGGGACCTGGGCAATCTGGGAGCTGTGCCTGGCTGCTGCCCCAAGCCCCGGGGCTGTGCCATTACCTGCACTTTGATTTCCAGCTCTCGGATCTGATCCTCCTTCACTTTGATGTCCAGGCTGAGCTTCTTGCACTCGCTCTCCAGGTCGCGGATGCGGCCGCGCAGGCTCTCGGTGCACTCACCTCTGCAGGGACAGAGCCCGGGTGAGCCAGCAGCACTGCCACCCAGCAATGAGGCACAGCCAGCCTGCCCCTCCTCACTGCCCAAAACTGAAATTCAGAATGAGGCACAGCCAGCCTGCCCCTCCTCACTGCCCACAGCACCCAAAACTGAAATTCAGAATGAGGCACAGCCAGCCTGCCCCTCCTCACTGCCCACAACTGAAATTCAGAATGAGGCACAGCCAGCCTGCCCCTCCTCACTGCCCACAACTGAAATTCGGAATGAGGCACAGCCAGCCTGCCCCTCCTCACTGCTCACAGCACCCAAAACTGAAATTCAGAATGAGACATGGAAAAGAAGCAGCCAGCTTTGGTCTGCTCAGCAAAGCTGTTCCCCTCACGGCAATGCAGAGCTGCTGAGGGTCACACCTCAGGTGGGGGAGATTGGGAATTTTGGAGAAAATTCATCAGAATTCCTTTCTGTGAGAGCACAAAAGAGGAATCATTTGACAGAGACATTTGAGCCCTGCAGGCTGAAGTGCCCCCAGCTCGTGGGACTGCTGGGCACTGGGAGCACTGCCCCAGCAGGAACATTCCAGAATGATGGCCAATGCCACTGCTCAGACCCTGCATTCCCACGTGAAAGGAGATGCTCCTCTGAGCAGGACACGACATCTCTGAGAGCACAATGCAGGAAGAGCAGTAATTTAGATTAAATGTCATGTCTTCCCTGCAGCTGAGCCTACATCTCCCAGTCCTGCCTTGTTTTAACACAAACCAGCCTCTCAACACAAATAAAGCTATTTTTTCTTAAATAAAAGTGTTTTTTTTAAAATAAAAGATCAAACACAGGCTCTTCCTTCCCACCCCAAAGGCTCCCAAGGGCAGAGCACCTGGTAGCAGCAGCAAAGGCCACAGCTCGTGCAGCAGTTGCTTCTTCCAACTTCTTCCTCTTCTTTTCTTCCATTAATTGTTTTTCTACAAAGGTTCGTGCCTCCTGCTCTGCCTTTAGCTTCTTCTCCAGCTGGCTGATCATTTGTTTGTCTTTTTGTTTCATCTGTACAGCGTTGTGCAATCTGCAGGGGGACAGGAGTGAGCTTAAAACCTGCCTGGGTTTGCCTCCCATGTTAGGACTATTATTATTATTTCTATTCACTACTATATATTAAATTATATAATTCTATTAATAATTATTAATATTGTTATTAATATTAATAATTATTGTAGTATTATTATTTTATTTACCATGAAAATCCCCCTTTGCAGCCCCCAGGACAACGTCACATACTTGTTCTAAATGACAATACAGCTGGCTTTGGCATTTACAAGTTATTATTGATCACAAAGACTTTAATATGGCACAGTTTGTAATCCCTTTTAATTGCTTTTTAATCACCTGAAGTTTTCTTTATACCCTTTTGAAGTTTTGAGGCTGCTTTGCCTTCCTCCCAATCCCAACCCACAGCAAAAATGAGTGAACAACTCCAGAGGGTGCAGGGGCATTTGGCCAACACTGACCCCACCACAACTGGGGCAGAGAAATCTCCAACTGGTGAACCAAACCCATCACACTAAGTTGGGGTTTCTGCCTGCTTTGACCTGAACCCACCACAGTTATAGATATAATAAATATATTTACTCCTTATTAAGCTTTATTTAACATGAAGAGTGAGCCCTGTTTCTGTCCCAGGCTGCAGGATGTGGCTGGGGGTATTCTCCCCATCTGTCAGAGCTGGGCAGCTCTCTCCTGTTCATTGGGCAGTTTTCTCTATCCCTTCCACACCCAATCCTCCCTCCAGGAGATATCTTCTGTTAACAGGTCATTAATTATTAATTATCTTCTGCTCATGGCCACGGAGTGTCCCTGCCTGGCTGATAAAATTCCATCATCCCACTGGGAGCTGCTCTGCCCAGGGGAGGAGCCAAGCATTCCTCCCTGGATAGAATCTGAGATTTCAAACATTCCTCCCTGGATACAATCTGGGATTTCAAACATTCCTCCCTGGACACAATCTGGGATTTCAAACATTCCTCCCTGGACAGAATCTGAGATTTCAAACATTCCTCCCTGGACACAATCTGGGATTTCAAGCATTCCTCCCTGGACACAATCTGAGATTTCAAGCATTCCTCCCTGGATACAATCTGGGATTTCAAACATTCCTACCTGGATACAATCTGGGATTTTGGGACACCAGAGCAGCCCCTTCCCACTGCATTTCCCTCTGCCCTGCCTTCCCAGAGGAGCAGCTTTCTCTCCCCTGCCCTGCATTCCCAGAGGAGCAGCTTTCTTCTCCCTTGCATTCCCAGAGGGAGAGCCACCCCGGGATGGCACAGCTGCCACCACCCTGAGGTGGCACTCCATCCTCATTTTCATCCCCAACACCGACCTGTCCATCTCGGCCTGAGAGCCCCCTGCATCTCCACATTTCAACAACCCAGCGGGGCCAGGGGGTCCCACATCCAGGCCAGGGGAGGCTCCTGCCCCCCCGGCAGCCCCCCCAGGGCGGTGCCCACGTACTTGTTCTGCAGCAGCTCGTTCTCCTGGCGCAGCTGGCCCGTCTCGGCGCGCGCGCCGCGCTCGGCGGAGCTCAGCGAGCTCACCTGGCTGCGCAGCTCCTGCTCCACCTGCAGCCGTACCTTTCTGGATGCCTCCATCTGCCGCACAGGAGAAGTCCCCCGTGGCCAGCAGGAAGCACGTGGAGGATTTCTTGTTCTTGTCCCGGGTGCTGGAGCGCCGCATCGGCCGCTTCTCCTCGTCCGCCGGGGACAGCGGCTGCTCCTCGTCCGACAGCACCACGTTGGCCTCGCCGTTCTGCTTGGAGTCTGCAGGGAGGGGCAGAGACCCATCAGCAGCTGACAAACCGCAGCACAAAGTGCTCAGGGTGGCCAGGAGGGGCTGGTGCTTCCACCAAGGAGGCACAAGAGCAGGCTGCAGGTGGCACAGAGCAACACCAAGCAGTTCAGGTGCTGATCCCAGCCTGGACGCGCTCATTTAGAGCAGCCAGGGGAGCAGGACAAACACAGATATGATTCCAAGCAGCTCTAGTCCTGCTGAGGGTTATAAAACCTGCATGAACCCAAAGC